ACACTGTAAAGCCCTTAAAAAAACAGTCCCCTGAGTCCATTGGTGGGGGGTAATTGAGAATGAATGGGGGAAAGCCATGCGAGAGGAGGCAATGCCTCCATCGCAATATGATTGCATATGACTGGTTATGATCAGCTGTGATTGGTTCATACGATAAATCCCGCCTCTTATGTTTGTGCGTGTTCCGCGGGAGCGAATCAGTCTGAATAAATAATATCATGGTGCTAATGGGAAGATTAATTAAAAAAACTAAGTAAACAACTCACACACTTAGGTATAACCACTTTGTTATGTTAAAATACAATTGAAATGGCCTGAAAACATGATCTGTGGGAGTTTTTAGTGAGTAATCAGCTAGGTGAAATTTAAAATCTCTGTGTCTGTGACCAATATTTAATGAGCTTTGAAGACTGATGATCCAAAAAATTCAAAAATAGTTCAAAGTTAACTATTAAAAAGAATAGCTGAACATAAGTTCACTAATAAAGCATATTATTTAATTGTTACTGCCTTGAGTTATTATTTTGGAATAAATGTAAAATGATAACTTGATGAGATTCATACTTGGCTTTAATAAATAGAATATTGATTACATTGTTAATGTAAACCAAGAAAATGTGGCTGGGGCGTGAATTTACATTTGACAAAAAAAAAACAAACAAAAAAAACACTTGAGGGCTTTGCCTCCTCATTTCAAAACACCACTGCAAACCACTGAGATCTCTCTCTCTCTCTCTATATATATATATCTGTATATGCAAATGCCCAGACTAAAAAAAGGTTTACAAATGTGTTTTCACCGTCACAATCACAAGCTTGTTTGTTTATTTTATTTTTTCTTCAAAGTTCTAAATACAGCATATTAACTGTTTTGACAGTTACTGGATATCTTTTATCTTTTTTTCACTCTCTATTCTAATTCTATTCTTTAAAAAAAAACTTGCCCCTTTTAGACTTGCACTCTATTCATTTACTAACTGCTTGTTTTCTTTAAAAAACCCTAACACTAGCTTTTCTAATCTTTTTGTATTCTAATTGTTTTCTTTTTATTTATCATACAATTAACAAAAGAAAAAAAGGCCTCTAATACTAGCTTGTTCTGTTCTTTTTCTATTCTATCTGTTTTCTTTTTATTTATTATATCGTTTTAAAAACCCCTTGCTACGTGTACTGTGTTAAGCTAACTGAGACTTTTTATAGCACTTGCATATCATTGCTGTAGCGTCTGGACCAATCAAACACACAATTTTTCATTTGATTGTAAATGTATCTTTTTTAATATTGTGGTTGTTTTACAGTAAACAACTGTATTGTACATCTGTTTTATATTGTTTTTTTATCAGTTTTAAATAAAAACTTTTGTAGGGGGAACAAAATGACAATAATTTATTATCCAAGTAAATGTTTTCGTTTGAATTTGACAAACAATAAAATTTCACTTTATAAATTCATTCACTTCATTTAAACTTGGACCAACTCAACTGCATTTCATTGCATGAATCAGTTTTTTTATGAGTTGGGGCTAAACATATTTATTGGATGGAAATCCTACCCTTCAATTAAATTGAGTTCGTTCAAAGCAAAGAAAAGAAAAAAATGAGTCAATGTATATAAAATTAAGAGATTGTAATCATTAAAGTTTCAGTAACACAAAATAATTGAGTGGAGTTTAATTGTATTTTAGGAAATAATCTTTTAGTGAACTCAAATGAAATAAGTTCACAGTACTCATAACTACTGGTTTCTAAACTTAAATGAATTGAGGCAAACGGTTTCCTCATTTGAAATAAGTTATCTCAATTCCTTGGGTTTACACATATTAAAATTAATGTTACAGTTATGAATGATTGAGTCCTACTACAATACAAAAAAAACTTCATCAATTAAATAAAAAGGGACTATTTTACACAACATTTGTGTGTTCTGACCATTTTTATGCTTGTTAGAGCAATCCATTGTCTATGTAGAGAAAAAATCAGTCACTTATGAGGATCCATCTCTGACACACCCAATAAGACCAGGAACAGCCATAAATAGAGTAAACAGGGACAATTTTGGATTTGATTTTGGTTTTATGAAAGCAATAAGCCACTTACAGTGATTTTACCATGCTTAAGGGGTGTTAGGCATGAAGTGAAGCAGGTAGGGTTTCAATTTTTCCCTCTCCAGTTAAATTTACTTTGCGGGACTATCTACAAGCTCCACTCTCTGTTTCACGTTTATCTAGATGTGTTCATCCGCTGAACTCCTAACCCACCCTCCGAGTGTCAGGTCAGGACATCTCTGTTGCCATGGTGATGTTTAATCCCTGTTCCTTGTCATGGTGATTTTTTTAATGCTGCTTTCCCTCCTCATCCTCCACTGTCCTCTAAGCCAAATTAGCAGCGTGAGCCGCAGAGAGGTGGAGAGGTTATCACTCAGGCCTTTATTGAACTACAATTCCCATGAGCCCACGGACAGTCCAGACCTCACAAAACTTTATTGATTAAAACAGTCCGTGTATTTCCAATGTCAAAAAATTTCACAGTAGGTAAGTTTGGTATTATATAAATATATAATTCAAGAAAAGAAGAAATACTTGTGTTTACAATTTTCTAAAGTTTATATTTTTAGTTATTTTAATTTTTGTTATAATTCTAGTAATTTTGTTGTGTTTTGTCATTTTTGTTTAGATTTATTATAGTATATATACATATACAGAGAGAGAGAGAGAGCACGAGTACTTAAGACTTCAACTTAAACTAAATTAAAATGAAACTAGCTTTTTTATTTTATTATTTTATTTTATTTCAAGTTATTTTTTAATAGTTATTCAAGTATTTTTTTTATGGTTTTAGTTTTAGATTTAGTTCACAAATCAACAAATCAAAATTGAGTATAATGTATTCTATTTACTTTTTTAAATTAAAATGGCTTCAAGTCAATTTAAAGAAAAATGAATGATCCTGGTCTTAATGTGGTCCAAAAAAAAAAATAGAATTAAAAAATAAAGTTAAATTACAAATAAAATAAAGAATGATAAAAAATAAAAGTTTCTTTGTCATAAAATGCTTTGCCTTTAAAACTTTTTAGTGTTTTCTAATCGTGCACCTAACAGTAAGATTTTAGTAAAAAACAAACTAAATAAAAATAAATAAATAAATTATTTCAGCTAACAGAGTTGCTTTAGGCTCAAGATTTGACAGTGAGACAGGATTTTGCCAGATAACGTTTACAAACCACTATGCCACGGATTCAATGCATTTTTACTTCTATTTATGCAATAATTTGCTTGTTTTTAAAACAAGTAAATAGTCATCTAGAACACAGCTGAAATATATTCTGTTCACAGTTTACACATCCTTCTCATATAACCTGTGTTATTGTTCTCAGTCAAAGAAACGTCCGTGTTATGCATCAAAGAGCTCTGAGACTCCAGAGACCCTCCATACAGTGACATGTGATGGTTATGTATTAGAGCAGAGCAAAGGTAACAGCGTCCAAATGTTTGATCACATTCTGCCAGCATCCATCTTCCAGCAATCATCCATTACCCATAAGTCCACAAACATCCACAGACAGATGAAGGAGGCACTCAGGATATTCTACAAACATCCGTCCTAGTCAACACACTAACAAATCACCGAGCGACACAGAAACACATTTTTCTGAACACCAAAAGAGTGAACATTTTTCTCAGAAAGCTGTACTCTTAATGTAAAATCTAGTTCATATATGTGTTAAAATTGTCTGTCATTAGACCGTTCTGTGTGCCTTTAAGAACATACGCATTGAATCTCGCTATCATTTCGAAGGACTGCTCAAGGGATTCCCGAGAGATGCTATCAAAGATACAAGACTGTGATTCAGTTGTAAAATCCTCCACAGATATCAGACAGACAGACAGCACATCACGCACACAAACCGCTGGATATTTTCAGATACTCGGCATAAAATGAGAAATGAAAATGCTTCAGTAACACGAGGAAAGAGATAAAACACGGTTCATGTCTAAATAAATCCTACTAAACAGTACAGCCAGTCAACATTATACACTGTATATTTTTACTATACATTATACACATAAAAGAAAATGTGCATAAGGAGTGTATCTGATCTTTAAAAATGAAGCTGCTTTATATTAAATTACAGTTCTGACTTAACCAAAGCCAGATCATATAGATCAGAAGTTCTCAACTGTTGATTCACAAACCGATCACGGGTTTAATCTAATAGAATAGGGGGGAAAAAACAATGAAATGCAATTACTAAATTGCAACTAATAATGTAATCATGCATGAGCAAAATAGACGTATTAATTATATCCTGTGTGGATGTTAAAGGGAGTGTGTCCAATCAAACTCTGGGTGCAAAATCCTCCTTCACAAGTTAGTCAAAGCAGACAGATGTCAACATGGACAGCTTGTGTGACTTGCTCTCATCCTCAAAAACCATCAGCAAAAGCATGCAAGGTAAAATGTGATCTAATAACACAAGATGCAAGACAATGCAAAATTAAAGTGTCAATTTTCCCATTCAGTCCAATTCAATTTAGGATATTGCTCAGCCAGTGCAGCCCAATATTATTGATATTATTACGTGAAATTATAGGTTGCATTTATCTGATCAAAAATACAGAAATATTATTACCATTTAAATAACAGTTTTTTTATTTGAATATATTTTAAAATGTAATTTATTCCTATGATGCAGAGCTGCATTTTCAGCAGTCTTCAGTGTCACGTGATCCTTGAGAAATCATTCTAATATGCTGATTTGCTGCTCAAGAAACATTTCAGATTATTTTTCTGAGGCACTTTTTATTTTCAGGATGCTTTAATGAATAGAAAGTCCAAAAGAACAGCATTTATTTGAAACAGAAATCTTTTGCAACATAATGAATGTCTTCACTGTCACTTTTGATCAATTGAATGCATCCTCGCTGAATAAAAAAAAATAAAAAATTCCTACTTTTTCCAAGCTTTTGAACAGTAGCGTATGTGCTTGTTGTCAGTACTCACAGCCTTTGTAGATGTCAGTAGGAATCTGTACGGCTGTATATGAGTAGTTGACTTTGTTCTTGAAGTTGGGATCATCCACAAACTCCAAAGAAAGAGAATTCGGGTTTTCCAAGAGGTTTTCTCCATCATCATCATCCGGCTGCAACAAGAAGAAGCAGACAAACATCAGTGCACACACACACACACGCCGAATGCATTGATTGACACACAGCAAACCTTTGTGCAGAAAATCACTTAGACACACACGCATCCATGATTAATTAGACAAACACTAATTACACAGACATGACAGGGGTAATCCTGCCTCCACAACTCAAAGGTGGCGGCTCTTTGGGAGGAAAAGCCGTAATACATCGCCAGTCTATTCATCCACGACACAATACAACAGCAGGTATCAAAGTGTTCGCAAATTGCAGAAAATCAATTAGCGTTGGCGATGGCTATCGCATTCACATTGAAGTCCTTCAGGCGATTAACCCTGTCAATAAATCACCACAATGATTGCCGAACGACGGCTGCTCTACCCTCTACTTGAGCCCGCCACACAGGCAGCTAATTAGCATTTTAATGCATCTCGAATCAAAATTCGACTCAGAAAGTCCGGCTTTGATAGAACTTCAGTGAAAGTATCAAGCCAGCAAAAAATAAATAAAAAAATGGCAGGATCACTGGATTTTAACGGCTTGCATTTATTAAATACCTCATTCTTGTATGCTAAGCATAAGGAGTAAGCCTATGCATAAACTGCATGATAATTGCATTTAGTCGGAATGCTGTACTTCCATACTAATTTTGCACTATGTATATATTATGTACATTGCCAGACAGAAGTTAGGAATAATTAGGATTTTGTAAAGTTTTTGAAAGAAGTCTTTTCTGCTCACCAAGCTTGCATTTACTTTATCAAAAACACAGTAAAAATTATAATTCAATTGTAAAATATTATTGCAATCTAAAATAATGTTTTTTCTATTTGAATATATATTAAAAAGTAATTGATTCCTGTGATCAAAGCTGAATTTTCAGCATCATTACTCCAGTCTTCAGTGTCACATGATCCTTCAGAAATCATTCTAATATTCTAAAAAAAGAGGATATAACCAGTATCTCACAATGCAATGTGCTCAACTTTATAATCAGTGTGACGAACAAACCTGAAATGATAATCATGATTCATATTCCTTTCATTATTTAATGCACAAGACATTTTTACACAAAATTGGATTAAACATGCAAAATAAGCAAGAATATGGCAATTGTTGTCGTCTTTAATCTTCAGTCTGCACTCTAAAAAATGCTGGCTTAAATACAACCCAGCGCTGGGTGAAATATGGACAAACCCAGCTATTGGGTTGTTTTGACTCAGTGGTTGGGTTAATACCCAGAAGGTTGGGTTAAACATTTAACCCAACCGCTGGGTCCAAACAACCCAATAGCTGGGTATGTCCTTATTTGACCCAGCGCTGGGTTGTATATAACCCAGCATTTTTTAGAGTGTGACCTTTTCTTCAATAATTGCTATTATTCATTCATTTTCCACTCACTGTGCTTCATTAATCTTTCTCTTTGTCTTTGATTCTTCATCTCACAATCAAACACCCTTGTCTTCATCGCAGGGTGAAGTGCGGTGTACAGTAATAGAGTGGCATGGGTTAATTGGGGTTGACGTACTAAACACTGTTTTTATTTTTTTTGTTTTCCTCAAAATAAATTCAAGCCTCCTGCCAAGTGTGAGGGCTGATTTATGGCCTGCCTTTAATTGTCTATTAAAATGCAATTATAAACTGTTGTTGAGCCGAACATGGAGACGGTGGTTTTCCAATACCCCTCAATGTGACATAAACACGCACATGCACATATAGGATGCGAATAACCTTGTGAAAATGGGAAAACCTGTTGGGATTTCTTTCAGTTTTCCTTGCAAATAATTTGAAATGACACGGTGCATTGACTTTACTCATGACTAGTTCATATCTGACTCTAGGTAATAATGTTTTGGCTACATACATGATTCAGAGCATTAATAATCAGACTTATTTTTAGTAGGTCATGATTAAAGCTAACCTGAACTAACAGGATTAAACACTTATTCAGACAGCAGTTTTCAAATACTGATACTGTGTAGAGAAACTTAAAAGTTTATCCAAAAATGAAAATGTACTAATTTTCAGGCCATCCAAAATGTAGATGAGTTTGTTTCTTCGTGGGAACAGATTTGGAGAAATTTTGTATTATATTACTTGCTCACAATTGGATCCTCTGCAGTGAATGGGTGCCGTCAGAATGAGAGTCCAAACAGCTGATAAAAACATCACAACAATCCACAACACTCCAGTCCATCAATTAACATCTTGTAAAGTCAAAAGCTGCATGTTCGTAAGAAACAAATCCATCATTACAGCGTTTTAAACTTCAAACCATTGCTTCTGGCTAAAATACGAGTCTATAATCCATAATAAC